CTTCTCCTCAAGTTCATGCTGTGTCTGTGTCTTTTAACAGCCCAAAACACAGCTAATGCTTCTCGCTGATTCTGTGAATAACCTTGTTCAGTAACAGTAAGTTTGCGTGAAACACAAATAACTGGTCTAACCTCCTGTTCCAAAACTGCGCAAATACCCACAGGTGATGCATCAGTGACAAGTACAGACTGTACACTAGGGGAGTAAGTTCGAAGAACAGCATCACTTTGAAGAAACTTTAGTAGACTACGTAAGCATGACTCTTGTTCCTCACCCCATTTAAATGAATTGGATGTCAAAATATTAAATAAACAACTTGCACGACAAGAAAAATTAGGAATAAAACGGGAATAGTATTGAAGAGCACTCACTAGTGAACGTAGTTCCGTAAGATTTTTTGGAGACGGTGCATTTGTCAGTGGAGCTAGTCGTTTCATATCTGGTCTAAAACCATTACCATCAACTAGGTATCCAAGACATTTGAAATTAGATACACAAAATGAACACTTATTTGGATTCACTGTTATTTTTTTCTCAATTAAACGACGCAATAAAGCAATAAGTCTCTGGTTAAGAACTACCTTATCAGAACCATGGACAATGAAATCATCTTGATAAACTTCAACGCCCTCAAGATCACTAACTACATTATTCATGACTTCCTGAAATATAGATGGAGAACAACTTAGACCAAATGGAAGGAAATTGTATTTGAACAGACCAAAATGAGTATTAATTGTCGTCAAAAGAGATGAAGATTGATCTAAAGGGATTTGGAGATAAGCATCTTTTAGGTCAACATTCTATAACACTTTAGAACCATGAAGTCGATTTAGAATATCTTCAGCCTCTACCGTCGTGCACGTTTGCTTCAACAAACGGGAATTCAGTATTAATCTATGGTCACCATATATTCTAGGGGTTTTGCCATCCGACTTCAGTGGCGTAACAATAGGAGTACCCCATGCTGAGGACTGGATCGGTTCAATTATGCCTTTTGCACACAAATCGTTTAATGTTTTATGTACTGCCTCTCGAAGACCATAAGGAATTATTCGTCTTTTAAGAAAGACTGGTTCACCCTGTACTTGAAGTTTTATAGTCTGAATCTTCATACCTCCACTGCACTTAGCACACGTGGCTATCAAATCTTTGAGTAAAGCATCATTATTTTCTTTAGAAACTAGGAAAGACAGCTCCACTTTAAGCCTTTTCAAATTCCTTAAGCCCAGTATTGACAGTCCTGTTTCGCTAACTAAAAATTCACAAGGTATGTATGAAGAATTTTCATCTCTTATTAGCAACTCACAACATCCTCGTATAGACAGTCTGTGTCCAGTAATCCCCAATATTGATACCTCAGTGGGTCGTACCACAACGTTAGGATCTAAAGATTTCAAGTTCTTGAATGAAATAATGGACTCTATACTGCCTGTGTCCACAATAAAGTCATGAAATGAACCAAGAGATGTATATAATCGCTTTTGAATATGAGTATCAATTTTCGAAATGGTAGACAAAGATAAATGATCATTAGGAACAGCTGAATCACTGGGATCTAAATTACAAGATTTAGTACTACTTGAGGCAAAATGAATAGTAGCTTTGCATACTGATTGAATGTGTCCTATCTTACCACATCTAAAACATTTAGCATTTCGAAATGCACATGAATTACGAGAATGAATTTTTCCACATGATAAACATTTGCCAAACTTGGTCTCACCTTTGTGATTTCCTTTGTAATTCCTTGTTGAGATATCTTTCATATTTACACGAGAATAGGAACCACTGTTAAACGAACGCAATTTTGATTGACCCTGAGGTTGTATTTCATCATGACGACTAAGCAAAGTATTAGAAATATTCATCGACTGGATATCAAGTTCATTCACTGCCTTGTAGTTAATACACGCAGTTCTAGCATCTTGAAAGGAACAGTTCGGTATTCTTAACAGCTCTCTTTCCAAACCCGTCAAGTTAATTCCTGCAATTAATCGATCTCTCAGTTGCACATGAAGTTGATCACCAAAATTACATTTGGCAGCTTGTTTCTGCAATTCAAGAATGAATTCCTTAACCTTTTGGTCATTTCGACGAGTCATCTTATGAAATTTTGCCCTTTCGCGGCATTCAAAACTAGTGCACTTTACATGATTTAATAATAACTCCTTAAGAGTTGCATAAGCAAGTGAGATAGGTTTTTCTGGATATGCCAAAGTTTTCAATAAGCTGTATGCTTCTTTTCCAATGAATGTGAGAAAATGTGCCACAATTTTATCACCTTTAACATCCTTCTTGTTCATGCTCCAAATTTCAAACCTTTCCAAATAATCCTCAAAAGCTTCAGAAGTTGAATGAATATTTAACTGTTCCATCGCAGGCTCCATCGCGATGTCAATAGGATAATTAAGAGTAATTGAATTATAGTATGAACTAAGAATCCCAGGGATAACGCAATTGAATCAAGAAGTACTACACAAGCACTAACGAATGAACTGTATTTAGAATTCGAAATCAAACATTCAACAAGTACAAATGAGTCATTAGTTCATTCAAACACCACATTTATCCTACCTCATATATTTTTGGGTGCGTGTCGTATGCAGTAATCCGGATTCTGTATAGCTTATGGCAAAGCGTGTATCATTCATCCATTTTTATGGAAAAATCTAAGACACGATTGTAGAATAATGTACGGTCCTAATTATAAAGTCTATAAAAATGAGTTATGCCAAAATACGTCAACCAATGGTGCTATTATTTTGAATATCATACAGGGTTATTCAGCAGAAGGTTTGCTGTCATGTCTCAATTAATCGGACGGATTTGAAAAAGTATAGAGTAACTGCTTGACAAGAAAGAACTTAGTCCCCATCAGACATTTGACGTAATTCCATCAACCTATAATCGGACAATTCAATCACTGGTGTGGAGACAGTCATACAAGCTTTGTGCAGTCAGGCTATACAAGTATCAAATAATGAGATTTTTGGATAATATAAACCAGTCACGTGTCTGGGAAGAAAGACATCTCCAGAGGTCCAGGGAATTAATTCTGTTAAGCTGTAGGTTAGCACAATAAATTTAAGTAAAAATAATTCCAGAAAGAATATGACAGTCACCAAGTTTACAGGCCAAATAAAACAAGGGTAACACAGTCTGTGAGAACCCAGTAAACAAGGTGATATACAAGAAGTACTAAAATTTTTTGGCAAAGCGAATATCAACAGTCCTATCAGGAACAAATGACAAACTGCATATACAAATGGAAGAACCGAAAGTAAAATGGTTGCATTTAATCTTAAGGCAAAATTTTATTGATATATGAAGTGAACATGGTGTGTGGATTTTACTTATATGTGCGCACATCTACATAAAAACAACCATAATGGATCCTGCAGAATTATGCAAGCAAGTCTGTTGCGTGACAAACACTAAGTAGTTTACATATTTCTATCATGAAGTGCTTCCACTCGGTCTTAATTTCAGTAACCTCCATATATATATATATATATATATATATATATATATAAAGTTACTCGGCCAGAATGGCGGAGATTCACCACGAACAAAGGAGATGTAATGGTGTAGATAACATAGCTTAAGCAGTAAATGATGTAGATGTTTATCGTATGTAACACCTCCCTTTCTTTTGGGACTTATTTTGCTCACCTTTGGAATATCTAACGGTAAATCCTAGAACTTTGTAACTGCTACCAGAAGGAATTGTGACGAATTCGGCGAAATAACTTGGATTTTCTTCAAATTCACCCTGATTATCTAGTCTGAACACAGGAGGCAGTTCAACAAAACCTGTTTGTTCGATTATGCCGAAGTACTGCGTTCTTCCATGAAGAATAACAAGATTCTTAGGGTAACTCGCAGTCAGCGATTACATCAAAACATAAATTTTTGTGGTCAATTAGGGCTGCATGATTATATTCCAGTAATTATACTTGTCCAAAAATCGAAATTGTTTCACCAACACTGCTTAGCCACTTTACAGTCGAAATTTTCTTTGGTATAAATGAATGTTATAGACAGCAATAAATGGTTATGAAACAAAACTCCTAATTTTCTGAAAATCAGAAAGAGTATTCCCATTTAAAACAGGTCTGATTTCTGTTCACAAGAATCAAAAATTGTTTTCAGGAGATAGCTAAATAGCAAGGTCAAAAAACGCTCCACACAGTAACCTTATATTTGGTTCAACAAGGCCTCGATCTTGTACGTATAAACAGCACTTGGCAAGAAATTGAGGGCTTTGAACCTTTTGTATTTTGCGCGACAGCTTCATCCACCATTTTGGGACATTATGAGAGCTGTGAGGGTGATTTATCATCTGATGCCATGCCTTGGTACTAACATTGAATGCTTCGATTCGCTATCTGCTGGCGAACAATATGATAGGGCAGTTCGACAAGAAAAAAGAGAAAAGAATTCCGAAATCAACAACCGTCCGAGTTCAACTTTAGATGAGGTCCCATCCTCAAAGAAAAACAAACATACGGACAGTATCAGCAGTTGCAGCGACAGTGAAGATGAGAATAGTAAGATATGTCCTGCTGAAAGTATGGAAAATGGAAAGAATCAAAGTGATGACGACACTCAATCTAGTAATGAGCAACCACCTAAACCTACAGTTGTGGGTGTGAAGCTGGCAGGCCCTGAAGATATGGACCATTTATCTCCCGAGAACGTACAATCAGAGTTACCCCTCATTTCACATATTTCACCTGAAAGCGACTCATCTGGTGAAGCTATGGACACAGAGGCATAATTTATCCATTGAATACCTTAATTTTACTAACCAATGTATCATATGTAACCTTCCGTTTTCTTTTTAAATTATAATGTAGCGGGAATCAAGCAATTAGTTAGGGTTCACTTTGGTGTAGAGGTACTGTGACAGCAAATAAATTTCCTTGAATGGAATAGAAATTATCAAAAACAAAACAATAAAAGCAGGACCTAATTTTTTATTTTTATTAAGGCAATCAGAAGTTGAGAATTAGTTCAGCGACATGTTGTGGAGTACAAAGTTGTACAGTTGTATCGGTTTCAGAACAAGTTTCGGTTACATTCATGATTGCTTGGTGAACAGATTGGTAGTAACTATGAATCTGGTCAGCAGAACGACGACGAACCAGCCTTCGTAACTGTTGGGAACATATTTTGTTCATGTCAGTAAGGCATAGTTTGTCTGGATTCGATAAATATTTATTGAAATCCACCTAAGAATAAAATAAGAGTGACAGTGAGCGGAATAGCTTGATTTTGAGGCGATGAGTAGTAGTCAATGCAGAGTGATACACAAACACTACAAAATTAGGTGATTAAGGATTGAGACCTATAAGTATTTGGAAATACTACTTGAGAAAAGTGGGCGATCGAATCAACGCTGACTGACCACATGTTTGAAAGAAAGCAGTATAGTTATAGACTTTGCACCAATGTACTTAGTATTCACCGCACGACTGCCAGTATTTCAGTTTGCTAGCGATGTTAACTGTGTTACAATTTTGTAGATTCAAGGATGACGTACTAAGTATTAATTTACAGTCAGTAAAACCAACAATAGTCCCCACGACAAGTGGTTTGAGATGGTCGACAGGGAATCACGGGTCTCGCGCTACTTAGCGTTTGACTAAGCGGGGATCCGCAATTTCAAGGGAACTGGTGTTGGATACAGGTAAGTGTCATCTGAACAATTTGAGGTACTTATGGCACGCGATATGCTGGTCTGGTCACATTCGCTCGTAAATTTTATGACAGCTACTAAAACATATGGTGTATTTTGAAGTAACAGTGTTTATTGCATTTAAAATAGAGCTAAACGACTTACCAACATGTCATGAAATTCGGATATCGTGTACTGGGGAACATTAGGATCCTGAACAGTGCCAAGTCTTTGGTTTATTGACAAAAGACCTGTCCTTTCAAGTATGAAGGAAACTTGTGCAACAACCAGTGAATTCAGACAGTTGTCTAATTTCAGTGCAACTTGTTCTACTTGACTAGCACTAGAGGGAATCCCTGAAAGACTAACCTGAATAGCATTAAAACAGTTGACTAGGTATATTGATACTGAAGGGTTATCAGGTGGGTTAGTGGGTAGTTGGTCATCTAGATGCCTTAAGTGCGATAGTGAATTAAAGTTGAGTAAACTAGCAGACTTCTCGCAGTAAGTGATCAAAGGAGATACCAAACAATCGATTACCTGAAATGGAAAAAAAATGTACGGGAAAAGGTAATGTAAGAAATTAGAATAACACGGCTTTGTAAACAAACCGACGAGGTGGCCGCATATAGTTTGACTGGACTAGTAATAATAACTTTGAGTGAGATCTAGCCACTAGTCATCAAACAAAAAGGAGAGTCAACGGCGACATATTGGGAGGCTATCTAGTTAACTAAAATAGTCTTTCTCGACCCTACCATAATATAATGCGGCTTCTGTACAAGTGCATTGTGCTCTTGGGGCGTTTGGTGTCCTTAGTCAACTAAGAGCATTATGTCGATGGAATCTTGAATCTTAATTAATTTCGTACGTATTCATGTAGTTATATGCGTTAGTCAAATACGAATGTTATTCGAAACATGTCTCATGCATCCGTTGATGTAGAAAATCAAAGACCCAAACCGGAGAAGGTAAAACTTCGAAATCTTGTTATAGACGTTAACCTAACTAGAAACACAATAAAATGGGTAAGGTGAATGTTAGATCAGTTAGCGTAGACATACAAGTATCGAATTAACAAGATCACGAATAAAGGTGTATGCATACCGGCCACAAGTGCTTAAGAGAGTGGAGTTATTAGAAAGGTCAAGTTGACTGAATATATCTGAATCATCAACAGCTAAAATAGGCTCACCTAGACGGTAACTAAACATGTTACTATAGTGGGAGATTCTGCAGGTCCTCATCCAGTGTTTAACAAAAATCATTTGGAGTACCAACAAAATAAGTGTTTTCTCAATTATCTCTCATTTCAAAAGCAAGAAAAGAGACTATGTGTGTGGAATGAACTACAGTTTCTTCGTTTCCATGGTCATATCTGAATTTCTAAATATTGTAGTATCGTACTACTCACATATGACGTTCCTAGTTTTTTCTTAGACACAAGTGTAAGATCAAAAAAAGATTATTCTTTCTATGGAACTCATCAATCAACCAAATAATAACTTCGAGAAACCTCAAAATCTTCATGAATGTCTTTTGTCTTCAAAAAAGACTAGTAACTAGATATGTGTCTGTAATTGAGAAATTATAGTGATCTCTTAAAAATAAAAATTATACATATTGAAGTGTGAGGTCAGAACAATTCTCATGCTTCTAAAGATAAATCAAGATGAGTGACAGATCTAAATGTTAAGAGTATTGAGGAAGTACTTACATTACTTAGTAGACGTGCTATTTTTCAAAAAATATCTATATGATCCTGTAGTTCTACTAATCGTTTATTTTGGATATATATTCCAATCAATTGCAGTCCTAAACATCAATGGGAAGATTCAAGTAAACAATACAAAGTGAACTTAAAATGTTACTTCTTAAACTTTCATACATAAGATCCACTTAGTCAAAATCCTAATACATCCTAATAGACGATCTAATGTAAAACACTAACTGTAGATTTGAAAAGGTTGAGAGGGTTTGTAAAAAGGCCTACTCATTCAAACAGTGGTTGTACTGCAAAGTTTCGCTATATTAATAGACAAATCACCTCTGCACGTTCGACTTTTACTTCATCGTTTGGCAGTAATGAAATATCTTGATCACCGACCATTTGGATAAGTAATTGTAGAGTGTCAGTGATTAGTTCATTCGGAGATAAGTTTAAGTTTGGATGGTCAGGCTAATATAAATTGTAAAGAAAATGAAAAAGAAAGAAAAAAATAACTAATATGAATTTATTAGTTGTATGAAAATTATTTTTTTTTAATTATTACATCACTGACTGCCTTCTGGTAATCTATGACAACATGAGGAAGAATCAGACTGATAACTAGAGAGAATATTTCTTTAAAATACATTAACAACAAGAGCGTAATAAAAAAATATGTTGTTTGAAATATCGATCCCCATCCAAATCGCACGTCGTCCTCACGAGATAAAAACAATGATGAAACAAACTGACTATGTGTACATTATTGTCCATTTGTTGTAGTTAAATTCCTATGAACGATTTTTGTAATCACAATTTATCCCAGAAAGTTCAGCCTTACGAAATGTCGGTAATAGAATAAAACATATTATCGAGAAAAGCCAAGTATGAACAGCTAAACACATAAATACAGGTAATTTTCGAGATATTCACATTTAAGGAAAAATATTGGATTCTCAAATCGATCAATTTAACGAAAACTAATGGTCTTAAGATTTTTATCTCATGTACAGCGTCTACTTGGTGAATAACACTGATAAATACGGACATGCTATTTTCATTCCTGAACTGACTTTATACTGAAATATTGAGGGTCGGGTGAGTTTTTGTTCGAGTCATTAAAACAAAAGTAGCTATAAACATTTTGTCCCCTTCTTTGTCAGCATGATGTTTATCAGGCATATTATTTAGTGTTTTTGATAGCAAATTCCAAGCTATTTTATCGACAACATATCAACAGTGAATGTAGGAAAATTTAGTCGCCGGATATTTTATTGTATTAACAGAGTGATTTTATTGCCCTCAAATACCCTGGTGTGGCCAAAAGTGGGGTGGGCCAACCCTCCCTCTCGAAATACTCTGACACGGCCACGCGTATACAGCATCTGCCAGGGAAGTCCTACTCACTGCCTTCTCGTGGCGGGGGTGTTATTTACGAAAATTAGAGGACGAAAAGCGAATTTCCGGCACTTTAACCGGATCCCAAACCAATGGTGCACATAGGCTCCAGTATCCTAAGGGAACAAATGGCGTATGAACCAATCGTTGGTCACTGGATACCATGGGACTGCATCTCCTTACGATGCTCCACTGCCTTGTGGGTCAGACCTTTAGGTCAAATGCTACGGGTGTGGTCCCTTAAGAAAACCACCTGCTTCGGTTTGGGCATCCGGGCAGTATCACAGCCCTCACACAAATTTGATGAGATGACAAATATTTCACAAAATACTATGCCCGCTCCGATCAGAACTCAGACATTTCACTCGATAACATTCATCCATATTTTTATTACTATTTTTCTTTATATACTATATCGTTTATCATTGTTTATTATCACTTCATATATCCCCATTTTTCAACTTATACAGCAGCTCGCCTTTGGTCGAAACTCTGTTCTATCTAAACGTTCTCGAGTCACTGCCTGGTTGAGAATTGTATGCTACCACCGAATACGAATACTGAAGCAGTTTTTCTGAAACCACGTGCACCATTCAAACTGGCTGCCTTCAACGTTCGCACACTTATGCAGGTCGGACAACAGATAGGGCTGGCTACGTCTTTGGAAAGTCTTAATATTGACGTTTGTTATCTATCCGAGACCCGTATTCAAGACTCTGGTGAAGTACTACAAATCTGCTCTCCATCTGTCGCTTCGGAAAGCTTGTTTCACGTGCGTTTATCCGGGGACCCCGTGGCATCTTCGTCTGGTCTTGCTGACGTTGGTGTTGTTGAGGCAGCACTAATAGATTGGATCCCCATTAACAGTCAGTTATGTGCTGTTAGATTAGAGAGTCCCATCAAAGTGAGAAGAAATCGGCGTGAGAAACGATGTCTTTTCGTCATCTCCGCCTATGCCCCGACAGATTGCAGCCCGGATGCAATCAAGGACGAGTTCTACCATCAGCTAACTGTTCTTCTCCAGAAAGTGTGTTCGACAGATATTGTAGTACTAGCCGGAAATTTGAATGTTCAGGTCGGGCGTCTAGGCACAGAAGAGAGTGCTTTAGGTGGCCGATGGGGACTTGTTGGTCGTAGGATAGATAACGGGGACCGTCTACTGCAGCTGTGTACAGACCACAATCTGTTTCTGGGTAGCACTAACTTCCGGCACAGTCATCGCCGATGTGTCACCTGACGTCCTCCCTCTGCATCTTAAGCCTGGACTCAGATTGATCACATCGCAATCAGCTACCGCCGGCGTGGTTGTGTACAAGACTGCTGCTCCTTTTGGAGTACCTATATGGACTATGATCATGTCGTGGTCTGCGCCAATCTCACCTTACTTTTTAGTGGCCAACGAAGTGACCGCCACCAAAGGATTGACGTTAGCAAGCTGGTTGCAACTTCTGTTGCTAGTAAGTACCGAACCGAGCTAGCTTCTAGGCTAGCTATCATTCCACCGAAAGGTACAGATGAGCATTGGTTGCAACTTCATGGCGAGTAAAGCCGCTTGCGGCTTCGCGAAACGTCCCGTTTATAAGCACTGGATTTCTTCTGGTTCCTTACAACTCATTGAAGCCCGTCGGTTTACTCCGGGTGACCGCGAGTTTGAGCACAAACGAAGGCTGTTACGTGATGAAATTAGACAAATCTTGCGTAAGGACCGAGAAGCCTGGTGGTCGGAGCGTGCTAATGAGCTGGAAGCAGCAGCTGCATCTGGTAACTACCGGAAGCTCTTTCAACTCATCCGAGCCACTGGCAGCAAGAAGTTTGGTGTGAGCGAAACAATCTGAGAGGATGACGGGATGGGACTGACGACGTCGTTTACAAAGGTCTGGAAACTAGAGAGTGTACCAACGTCATGGAATGAGTCGATAGTTGTCCCTATCTTTAAAAAGGGTTCACGTCATTCCTGTAAAACCTAACGGGGGATAAGTCTACTTCTGATTGCGTCCAAGCTGTTGGCTTCCGTCATACTTCGTAGGTTGTTCAAAACCCGAGAAAGATTGACTCGCGAGGAGCAGGCTGGTTTTCGTTCTGGTCGAGGATGTATTGATCATGACTTCACCCTCCGCCAAATGTTAGAACACCGTCATACTTACCAAACGCCAACAATCGTAGTGTTTCTTGACAATAGGGCTGCCTTCGATTTGTTGGACAGAACTGTTCTCTGGGAGTGTCTATTGAAGAAGGGTGTGTCTGAGAAGTTTATTAACATATTAAAAGCCCTATATACAAACACCTCAGGCAGAGTGAGGGCATACAACCACCTCACTCCATTTTTCCATTCAAGCAGTTGGGTTAGATAGGGTTGTCCAATCTCACCATTACTCTTCAACTTTGCCATCGATGACATTCTAGAAACAACTCTGATGGATGTAAGTAATGGCGGTGTGGATCTGTTGCCTGGAGAAAGACTTCTCGACTTTGAGTATGCGGATGATATTGTCGCACTGTGCGAGAATGCCCAAGCCAAGCAATCAACACTTAATCAGTCGGCAATCAATGTCCGTAGGTATGGTATGTGCTTTGCACCTTCGAAGTGCAAAGTACTCCTACAAGACTGGCAGGATTCTAATCCTGTACTCACCCTGGATGGTGAGCAGATAGAAGTAGTCGAGAAGTTCGTATATCTAGGTAGTTGCGTAAGTGCTGGTGGTGGCGTGAGTGATGAGATCAATGCACTTATAGTGAAAGCCAGAGTGGCTTATGCCAATCTGGGTCAGCTTTGGCGCCGTCGCGATGTTAGTCTGGCTGTAAAAGGTCAGATCTACAACGCATCGGTGAGAGCAGTTTCGCTCTATGCTTGTGAAACCTGGCCTCTACGAGTTGAGGATGTTAGACGACTCTCTGTGTTCGATCATCGTTGTCTCCGAAGGATTGCTGACATTCGGTGGCAACACCATGTTAGTAATGCAGAAGTTCAGCATCGTGTGTTCGGGCACAGCGACGATAATTCATTTGATGTCACCATCTTGAAACACCGACTTCCGTAGCTTGAACATGTTCTACGAATGTCGTCCCAGAGAGTTCTACGTTGTGGGACTAGTTGGAAAAAGCGGAGAGGTGGTTAGTGTATGACATGGTGTCGTGGTATGAAAGAAAGCTGCAAAGGGTTGGCTTGTGTTGGTCCTTCACGACTCCCTGGCTGGGGTCCTAAAGATGGTGCAACACAGTGGCTAGAGACGTTATCAGATATAGCTCAGAATAGAAGCCAGTGGCGAACCTGCTGTAACCTTTTACTTTCTTCATAAAAAGTAGTTGCTTCTTCCTTAACTGAAAGATTTCTTATGATTGCACCTTTTTGTTTCCCCCATTATTACTACTATCACACTACCTGACACTAATCTGTTCGTTATTGTTCTTTATTTTTGCACCCCTTACCTTTTTTCCTTCCCTCCAAATTCTCATTTTTTTGTGTGGCTCATACATATTTGGTGCCCTCTTGTACCAATATTTATGTGTTCAAATAGATAAATAAATAAGTGATTTCTTTTATTCTTCTGTTACAATTCGCAAACAACGATTTCATAGTCATAGAGAAAACTTAATACTGTGCTATTCATGAAGCTCAGAAAATCATAACAGGAGCACAGACATACAGTTATTTAATTCAATTCAGGGTACCACTTATTTGTGATCGTCTGCATTGGCTACTGTAACCCTATTACAAATGAGCTATACATTATACATTACCTATAAAAGTTAACAAAAAAGGAAATCGTAACTTGAAATTCTCACTTGTTCTAGAGTTTGTTTGACAAATTGTTTGAGAGTGTTTAGTAATAGCCTTTTACAGAGCTTCTGAACTTCATCTAGGCATAAATTGAGCGAGGCAGTAGATTTAATCAGTGATCTAAATAAAAACGATGAAAACAGGACTTAGATTGAAGTAAAATAAAAGGATATACACCTTATTGAAAAAATTTTTACGATCAACATAAAATTAATGCAGTTAATCGGTCGTACAAACATTTGAACACTGAGAAATGAGCTAGACTAAACATAAAAATGAATTATACCAAGTGCCTGCAAGAACAGAAGGGAGTAAAGTGAATTTCATAACCGCCACTCAGTAACTGAGCCCAAGTGTTCATGTCACAGATTATGAAGTATTTAGTAGGTACTAAGTTTCCGAGACTATTTATTAGTTTAGTTGTGTTAGTGTGTAAGTGTTCTTTTTGTTGTTATGATAAAAACTATGGTAATCATTTTTGATCCCATTTTCGAGAATAAGAAAATAAGTATATTAAATCAGCTTGGCTGGAATCACCATTTTAATGCTAGATAGAGCCAGTTGTGTGAAATCCGAACACTTGATTAGATGTCGAGCCGAGTCTTACAAACCATTTAATTATCTGTTTGATTGGTTAACAAGACGCTTTTAATACGTTTTAACTGGTAGAGACACTTTAAACTGATTAAACAATAAAGGATACTCTCGTTAGTTAGTATCTTCTCAGATGCAACAGAAACTTTATGTAATGATATAAACATGTGATGTATGCTACTTATATCGATAGACATAAGTAGTATATAACACCAATCAGAAGAGAAATGCCTGGCTGCAGAAGGTTGGGAAGATCCAATCTAAGAGAATTGAAACAGAGAGTAATTGTAAGAGCAACGAAGGAACGATGAAGTTCGAGACAATTGATGGAGTATTTGCAAATGGAATATTGAATTTATCATTACATTTTACGAAAGAACTCTATTATTTCGTGTTAAGCAATAAATTAGTTGTCCCCACTTAGGGCTTCGTTCACTACAAATATGTTAATTTGCATCGAAACATACTGATAATTTTATACAACACATATTCTATGGGTTTTCTCTAAAAAGGTGACTTGGTTTAGCAAAAAAATGGTAATGGTCTTTTTTAAGTGAAGCCCATAGAAAAATCTAAACACTTTCCTGAGATAAAAATACATTACCAATTACGATGTTCATAAATTCGAACCCCCTACTTGACTACAGGAGTCCTTTCTAAATAACCCACTACAGTACATTATAAATCAGGACACCTCACGAAAATGGGGTTTATTAATCCAATCAATTCATTTATATTAATTTATTGTTAAACAATTTTTTTCTTGTCGCAAAGTGGGATTAACTGAGGAAATACTGTTAATCAAGAGACTGAGGAAGTACTCTGTTCAAGTTTTAAGAACTTTTAAGAATTATGTATCAACCCAAAACATAAATGAAATCGAGAATATTTACATTTTGTGATAACCATTTAATCTCGATTGCATTTTACAATTTCATTGGATTCACACTACTCCCAAAGATGTCCTAGAGGGTAATAGTAACTTTCGCTTTCTTAATTTACCTGATTCCAGATGTCTATCTTGCTAGATAGGTATCTCAAGTCTATCACGCTGCCAGGAGCCTCATGTATTTGTGTATTACTTTATTTGTGATAGGAGTTATAATGGTTACTAACAGAATTGTAACGGTGTATATCACATAATAGGTATTTCGTTTTAGTAAAAAGCTGTTTCAGAAAAGCACTAGCAAATCGAATAGGTCTTATATACATACATACACAATCTCACAGAGATCAATAAAACTTTGATTTATTAACTATAGTCACACTTACCTAAATGTATGTTGATAAAATCTCATGATATTATTCATTTTATATAGTGTAACGGCATCATGATGAGATACCAACATGTTTTCCATTTTCAACTAAAAAGTAAAAAAAACTTCTCAACTAATTGTTATGTATATTTAATCTAAATCTAAAGCATATATATATTTAAATCTAAATCAAAGATAACTTTACAGAGGAAAAGAAATTTAATTACTCAGTAAACAGTCTTACATTCTAATATAACAGAGAAGTTTAAAAAGGAGGGGTTTTCTGAGGTTAGATGCGAATCACTTGATAATAAGATTTGATACACTAGCTATTATAAATGGGGGCACTTTAGGTGACAAGAGATAAGTAGACCAGATTAAATCCGGATACGTGATCAACAATTGTGAACGAGACAACAGATCTGACTTATAGTTTGACACAAAATACAGGGTAGTCAAACGGTGTAAAATTCGAATATAGTTACAGTGGAAAAGAATTCACAATATTAGGAAGTGTCTCATACATTTAGCATAGATACTTGTCTATCTACGCTGACAAACCAATAAAAGCCTAATATCACATGTCATTATATTTTTATTTTAAAACCACATACAAACTTAACAAAAATGATGAAGGACGCGGTTGTTCGTTACTTGGGATGAAAATGAAAAGAGAACATGTGCCGTAACAAAAGGAATTGATTTAGACATTTAAGATAGTAGTAGTAGAAAGCAGCATAAAAATTAAAATTATTTGAAATTAAAGTAAATAAAGATCAACCAAATCTTCCAGAGAGATCACAATGAATAATGAAAAGACGAATAATTAAATTGATAAGCCTAATATTTAATGAAAGATCTTACGTCTTTACTTTCTGACAGAATAAGTGAGTCTACCTTTACACCCAACATTCGAAATCTACTGCCGACTATTATAGCTACTGTTGCCTTTTTATACGACCCTTTATGCTTTTCTATTCATATTTTAGCTTTATCTCTTGTCGCCTCTCCAAATATCTCCATCCTTTTGTTAATCCTAGTACACCTTTGTCTCGACCAACTAATTAGTTATCAAATCATGTGATAACGGTTGATTCAATTGACACATATCAATAAAGTGTCAGATACACAAAGGCCCGTCGAATAAACAATAAACGTTGAGGCATAGCTCTCCAAATAACCTAAACAGGTTGCACTAGCAATATAGAACCGTTTCTTAACATTGAGGGACGAGCTCAAGTAAGACGATTTGTTTATATCCAGTAACCAGGTGAATATTCAGCAACAACTGAATTCAAATCAATCACCTTGAGAAACCCCCAAGGTCAACGCTTCCCCAAAGTATCTATCTGGGTCGCATCACTTAAGGTTGAATTCTGTAAAAAAGCTAAGAAGATTTTTAAAATTTATTAAATCGCAGAAGTGCTTTTCGTCTAACTTATTATATTGAATACTCGACGTAATCCTTCAATCTCGCTGCTCTAAAACAGAAGACGACTGTGAAGCGCTACGAGTTTATTTAGTCGAGAAATAAGGCTCTGAAAGTAGAATTATAGGCGACCTTTAGCTCTGTATTACTTACTCAGCGGTTCCGAAATACCCGAGCAATGCTTCGAACTTATGGTAATAAGTAAACGCAGTCCTGAAATTATTTAAAGATATTTGAAATATAGTATACTCCATTACATTGGAATGAAGCAATTGTGGTTCTAATCTTTAGAAAGGACCACGTAATTTATACAAGACTGCTTCCAAACTATTGGCTGCAGTCAGTAGTTTTGTATGTACTGGCTAATTTTAAATGCCCTCTGCCAGAAAGGTACTTCCAGGTATTTTTGTTTATATGTTTGATAGACATTTAACGTTACATCATAAACTAAGCAAAATTTCAAACAATTTTGTCAACTTTAATCAAACTAGTGATACTTTACAGACTATACTGACAAGCTCAAAACTAACGAAAATTAAATTAAAATGTCAGTAAATCAAATGGATCAAAACCCCTTGTTACTGAAAATTCAGAGGATCGTAAATGGAATGCCAGAGAATGAAGGAGTAATATCATTGTTCATTGTAATGACTTGTAGCCGTTACTAAATGGACTAGATTCTATTTTTCCTCTCATGACAAACAACTATATTAGCAATCGCAGAACCCTTCGTAGCAATTTGGAAAAAATCCAGTTAAGTTACTATCAAGACCTTCTAACATCGTTTGGTAATGTTAAGAAGGTATGTTATTATCTTTTTTCACTTACAGTTTTCAGGGTCTAGACTCTTTAGATACTTGTATAAACAGTATTTTAGAAACATGTCTTCGAATGAATGGAACATTGACTGTAGGTTCCTTTTAGTTTAATCACCTCACTAACTAAGTCTGTTAAATCGGAGACGGTGTGTTTAATAGAAGAAGCACAAAAATTGAGATCTGATAGGTAAACCTTTTTGTGTATCTTATCTTTCGTTGCTATTCATTCACAGCAAAGTGGCGGAGATCAAAGCTTATTTGCTGGAACTGTTAGTTGGCTCATACCAAATCTCTGCAAAAGACGCACATATATTGTCCTCTAAAATTAGCGACACAGATGATACATTTTTTTCAGCTCTTTTACATGGCAAAGAAATAAAAAATATGTGTAAAGATTTATTGCAGTCAAACGAATTATCGTTCAGGTAACATAACTCTATGGTTGTTTTATTCACTAGCTGCTCACTGATGAATGAAGCAACAGAAATTTTGGACAAAGCATATGAAAATCTTTATGAGTGGGCTCAAAGTAAGTCATTCCATTTTTCTTAATCCTTCGACAGATGAATGCATGAAACAAGTTCAAGAAACACCTGAGATATCTCCATATCTTCAACGTGCTTTGTCCGAGTTACAAAATAAACCAGTTCTTCTAAAGTAAACGCTTAAGTCTATTGGATTTTATACTTTAATTGAAAGTATTTATTTCCCCTGATATTCTTATCATTTTTCTTTTGGAAGATATGTTGCACTATGAGATCCGAAATGTGATTTGTCAGAGATAGTGTAGCGGTCATGTCTAATACTTTTTTAAATATCGAATAATACTGCGTGTACTTTAACAGGTTAAACGTTCGGAAGAAATAGTCGTCTTATTAGAGCTAAGTTTATCTTCACCAGCAATTGATAACTTTCTTTTGTCGGTTAGGTATTCATAATAGCTATCTGACTGTCTGGTATTATTATTATTATTATTTTAACACATAAGTATAGGTACAGGGAGGCACCAAATACATATGCGCCACACAAATCTCAATTGATTTGTGTGAGGGCTGTGATACTGCCCGGGTGCCCAGACCGAAGCAGGTGACTTTGGTGCATATTTAAAATGATCTGTACCGTCCCTCTTTTAACAGATCCTGGAGTCGCTTCGTGTAGAATGCAATCCAATGTAAGCAAACTGCAATATTTTTAGTCATACATTAGCTGGCATAATTTGAGTTTTTAAAAAGTATGAATAACTTGTGATGTGATTAGTTCTTATCTTCAGTGTTACTTCTGCCTTCATTACGTTTTAATACAAAGCGATGTCTTAATCGTTAAAGCCATCAACTTTCAACTGTTTGGTTGCAACCCTTAGTCCCGTAATACCTACTTTATTCTCGGAAACTATTTGGTATCGATAGCCTCCACACAAAATGTAGCTCAGTTTTGGGTGTGCTAACCTGCAAATAATTTACACTAATCTCAACAGTTTTTCATCCCAATATATGTATTCCGTGTAGTCTTTCCTCAAGAATCCGGCCAAAAATAGGTTATCCTAGTACAGAACGGGAGGTATCCAGAGATTTATTATTTATAACAGTATACGTTGTTTTGAATATTAGCAAGAACACGTGACTTCACCATGTGTTTAGTTAGATAAAAAGCTTCGCTCGATATTAATTAAAAGTATGCAGATCAGGAACGATAAAAACTGTTTGCTCAAAGAAATATTTCATATGTTTGTTTACAAGAATGGCGTTGAAACTTTGGGTCATTCTACATTATCTATATTTTCAAATGTAGTTCGCGTTTAGTGTTAACCTTTTAATAGTATAATCAATGGAACACAAAACATCGATACATTTCATGCGCAATATATTAAAAGTATTATCAGATTTGGAACATTTTAATAATTTCAGTAACTCGACATATTCTAAGATGTCTTTTTTTATAATCCTCACAATGAAACCAGTTTGACTAAAAAAATTTTAACGATGATATAGAACGTCTAATAAGCAAATATTGTTTTGCTTAAGTAAGTCCTGCAAATGTTTTTTACACATCAGACTAATTATTGCAACGTAAAAGTTTCTAAACGTAATGTACCGGCATGTATCCACCAAGAAATTAATATCAGTAGACATTATAGTGGTGTTGGGACGATCTGCACTAAGAATCTTGAAATTATATAAAGGTATTAAATTTTCATCTTTAAGTTGATGTAACAAAAATTTAATCCAATTATACTACAGGCTGGAGATGTATATGAACAGAAAAGATTAGTTGTAATCTTTTTTTACCATAGATCTGATAAGCTTCTAATCTTTATAGAATCTATTTCCTTAGATCGACCATCATAATTATATTTTATTCAGGTAGTTAGAAATCGTTTTTTCCGCAGTTCATTTTAATATGTTTCTAGTTGTTTAAGCGTAGCTTCTTACATATGAGATAGCGGTATTCAAACAATTTGATCATATGTGATAGATTCTACTCTAATCACCTTTGTAGAAACGATTATGTGATCATACATAAAAATTAACAATATTTAATAAAGTAGACGGCAAATTTGGGTAATAATGTGTGGGATATTTAACAACAATTTTTCTGTCTGCACTCCTACCGATATGTCAGTCAGTCATTAACAACGTGGAACTTCGTACGTGCGTACATCAGTTCGAGTTGCCATACCACATTAGCATAGAGATCCAGTTATCGATTCAAATCCCATAGTGGTAGAGGTACTGAAAGTATAAGTAGAGATAGGGGACATTAACGTTTGATGATGTTATTAAAGGAGTATAGTCCAGTGGAATAAATTGGGAAAGAAAATAAAGGACATGAAGAATTCAGAAGATTAGAGTTTGAGAGAACACAAAGAGTGGATGCACCTGCGCCATTGCAAACGATTTTGAGCCATGTCATTCAAGGTCTCTAACCATCGATTGCTATCGTCTCGCGGTCCCCAACCAGGTAGTCTACACCTACCAACATGACTCAGTCCACTTGTCAGTGACTTCATGGATTTGTGCCATGTTTTGGTCTGGCCGCCCCTAGCTTTCTTCCAACCTACTCCTACACCATAAAACATCGCACGTCGGGGCAGTCGGTGGTCGGGCATGCGCAACACATGTCCCAGCCATCTCAACTGATTAAGTTTCACTACTTCATCAATTGATTTGCCATCCTTACCTAGTACCCGTTTCATAACAACTGCATTACTTACTCGGTGGTCCCAGGATATACGAGCGATGTTTCGAAGACATCTATGGTCAAATACTAGTAACCTACGAATATCCTCTACTCTTACTGGCCATGTTTCACTGCCATAAAGTAGGACGGAACGAACTGCTGCGCAGTAAACACGTCCTTTGGTTGATAGACGGATATCTCGCCTACGCCACAAATGACGCAAGTTGGCAAAAGCTAGTCGAGCCTTTTGTATCCGTGCTGAGATTTCGTCACACACCAAACCACAAGGGCTGATGAGACTTCCGAGATAAGTGAAGCGGTCGACACGCTCAACTACTTCACTCCCTATCACTAGTTCGGGTGTCGACGCAACCCAATCCTGAAGTAACATTTTGCATTTCGAGGGAGAAAATCGCATGCCGAACAGGCTTGCATTGTTGCTTAAAGTGGTCAGCAAACTCTGCATTTTTTCAGTAACTAAAAGCAAAATGTAGGCTGCTGTTTTTATATTATCACTGACCTGTATTTACGATATTTCTTCATATTGTTCTGATGTATACTTAAAATAAATTTAACCCAGTATTAAGTCTTAATTCTACAACTAGTGTTCCTAGGTGTAATGTGTTATAACAAAGTTACATCAAATTCTATTTTTAAAAATAATGTATTTGCATGATTTTACATAACTAATGACAATAGTCCTTTCCGGTAAACTTTATAGGTCACTATGTGTTTAAACTATGTATGTATTCCATATCCAAATAAAGCTGTTTGTTGTACCTTGTTAAATCTTGATCGTTTGTGTTCTGTTTCATTTTTTTTAGAAAAATGTCACTAATTAGTATGTCTAGCATAATATTTAAAAACTATTCCGACATTCAGTTTTTCTTTGCCAATACAGGTACTCTCTTGATGAATACGCTAGTGCTCGTCGCAAAGCTTCCGTTAAATCTTTTCTTGATGTTCTCACAGTTGAACTTGACTCGAATTCCACTGTCGGAAATCATTCTGATGGCACAGTTTATACAATGCACATAAGAGAGAAATCACGTGATCATGTGCGACTTGTGAGTGATATACTTGCTTGTGTTCATCAAATTACAGCCTCGGAGAAAGAGTATATAAATAGTTTATGCAAGAACTGTCACGATACACGTATGAATACTTTGTATATCATGATTAATTTATTATGATTTATGTTTGTTTAACAATTGTGTCTAGACTTACGGCCTACAACCTTCCTTCGGAACCCGAACTAATGTTAAAACGGTAATATATTCGTCCCAAACAATTGAGTTTCATGACCTTATTTCTGCAGAGCTTATCTGTATTTCTTCATAATCCCATAGAGCTCAAATATGACGCCGAGATAGGTCCTCATTAATAACCAGATTTTCAGTGGGTTTCGCTTCACAATCCATGAGTACCTAATGATTATAAAAGTCAACAAGATAATTGATACCATTATTTAATAGTTCAGTCGAGGAGGCTGTTTCTCTCAGTCGATTTTGTGAAATGCGTTCACATGTTAATGTCAGATTACTAGAAACTTGTTTCTCGTTAGTCAGAAGAGGTATGTTGTTCTCTCATTTCATCCCAAAATGTTAAGAAATTTCGGTTGTGAGAAGTTTCAAAACTCAAATAAGGATAACCTAGTGTACTCAGCAATAACACTAATAATAGTAATTAGAATAATATCTTGGTAAAATACTGTTTAGTATGAACCAGAAGTGAAACGTTCTACATCCATATTTCATCAGGTATATCCGCATGTAAGACCTATCCGTCCAATTAGTTAACTCTCCCCACTCTGTTTTTGGTAATTTGCTACTGGGTGAGCTAAAGATTGGATTTAGTATTAGAAAATATATACACTGTATAGTAATAAAACTAAGTAGAAGATCAAAGTGAATTTAAACGAATTATGATATGATAATTTTAGTTTTTGTAGCCGTTGAATATTTGATTGTGGATTGTGATCTTCATTCTCTTGGTTACTATCCATTTTCACATGTTTATGTAAGCTTGAACTATACGTGGTCACTTAATCTAAAACGTAGAGTGAAGCCACAGAGATGGTAATTCTGGATTTAGGCGTTGAGTAGTAGGTGAAAATACCAAGTTGATTGATCTGGCTATAATGCTTCTTCCATCAGGATGGTTAGGAGTCCTCTTATGATTCTCTAGTTGTGGCCTACTCTGATATACAGTACCAGCTGGCATAGGAGTAAACTGCGGCGAGCTAACAGACCAAAGCTCGCCGTCAATTAATCAAGTCGTTGACTGTTGGTCGTCTAAGCTATGATGTCGATTTCGACACTTAGCTGGAACTCGCGCATGATTTGTTATCAGGGCTTGGAATTAATAGGCGACATATCTTATATTTGGTCGCGGTGGTGAAAATTTATTATTTATCTTTTCTTTGGTCCTGTATGTCTGTATTATTCTACAACTTCTATTGCATGTTTTCATCCCTTATTTTCATATCTTAATTTATATCTTCATCTTTTTCAAAATCATATATTACTTACTTACGCTTGTTACTGCTCGTGAAGGATCATAGGCCGCTCACCAGCATTCTCCATCCAACCCTGTCCTGGGCAGTCCTTTCCAGCTCTTCCCAGTTGTTATTCATCCTTTTCATATCCGCTTCTATTTCCCGACGTAATATGTTCTTTGGCCTTCCTCTTTTCCGTTTCCCTTCAGGATTCCATGTTATCGCTTGACTCGTGATGCAGTTTGATGATTGGCGTAATGTATGTCCCGTCCATTTCCATCGTCTTTTCCTAATTTCCTCTTCAGCTGGAAGCTGGTTGGTTCTCTCCCACAAAAGGCTGTTGCTGATGGTATCCGGCCAATGGATGTTGATTATCTTGCGTAGACAGCTGTTGATAAATACTTGTACCTTCCTGATGGTGATTGTTGTAGTTCTCGAAGTTTCAGCTCCGTACAGTAGAACTGCCTTGACGTTCGTATTGAAGATTCTGACTTTGATATTGGTTGAAAGTTGTTTTGAGTTCCATATGTTCTTCAATTGAAGGAATGCGGCCCTTGCTTTTCCAATCCTCGTCTTTACGTCTGCATCTGAACCTCCTTGTTCATCGATGATGCTTCCCAGGTATGTGAAGGATTCTACATTTTCCAGAGTTTCTCCATCAAGTGTGATTGGTTTGCTGTTTTCTGTGTCGCATTTGAGGACCTCGGTTTTCCCTTGTGTATGTTGAGGCCTACTGATGCAGAGACTGCTGCTACACTGGCTGTTTTTATCTGTATTTGTTCGTGTGTATGCGATAGGAGGGCTAGGTCATCTGCGAAGTCTAAATCGTCTAATTGGTTCTGAGCTGTCCATTGTATGTCGTGTTTTCCCTCAGATGCCGAGGTCTTCATAATTCAGTCGACCACCAGAAGGAAAAGGAAGGGAGAGAGTAGACAGCCTTATCTGACTCCGGTCCTTACTTGGAATGCATCTGTCAGCTGTCCTCCATGCACTACTTTGCACTGTAGTCCGTCGTATGAGTTCCCGATAATGTTGACAATCTTAGGAACTCCGTAGTGTCGAAGAAGTTTCCATAACGTTCTCCTGTCTACACTGTCAAATGCCTTTTCATAATCAATAAAGTTGATGTACAGTGACGAGTTCCACTCGACTGATTGTTCGACGATGATTCGTAGTGTCTCGATTTGGTCTGTGCACGACTGATCCTTACGAAATTCAGCTTGTTGATCTCGAAGTAGGGCGTCTACTACTTCTTTCATCCGGTTCAGCAACACTGTTAAAGACTTTTCCGAAATCATATATACCTCGATCATTTTACTACTCATCTATTAATTTTATCTGACTACTGATATAATTTATTTACTTCAACCGGAGGATATGGCTGCTAGGTTATACACAGTATCGACTGACTAAGAACTCGTCTCTTTGAATTAAATTAATGTGTATTTGATATTTTCTTTCATTTTCTTAGTAATTACAGACTTGAAGATCATTTGTTTGGATACAATTACCGAGAGTTTATGCTCTCACCTCAAAGTAAGTTTGTCATTACGTTTGATTGGGAGGCTAATATATATTTTCTTCACCAGAGGCTTTAGTATGTTAGTTTATTTATTATACCGCCAGTATCATCAATCCTAGCACAAATGTGACGTAAATAGGAACGCATTAAAAATTGTTTGGTAAATTAGTTGCATTTCTGAGTAAAGTGCATATAGGAGTTTTTCTTCATGGTTATAAAGCTCCCACGACTTTATTAATCTTTTTCATCTCAATTCAGTAAAGGTGGTAATATAAATTTTGGCTTAACTGTAAGGTGGTCTCTAAAGTAAACATTGTTTATGTGCAGTTCTTTCTTATGTATTACTTACCCCTGTTACCCCTCATCGAGTAGCATAGGCCGCCCACTAGCACTCTCCATCCTACCATGTCCTGGGCAATCCTTGTAGGATTTAATTTGTCCCACAGATATACTACTAGAACCGTAAACGCGGTTCTGGCGATCACAGAGTCTATGTGAAAGTTATAGTCAGAACGAGGACAACTTGGCTTTAAACTTTATCTTTTTCGACCAAAATTGCTTGTCTTATCGAAATGAATAACATTATGAATCACACTAATATAATAGGCTAAAAATGTCTTTCAATTGGTAGGTTACATGCAACAGGGATAGTTTATAGACACATAAGACCATATCAACGTGGTGGGCGCTTGAACAACGATTTGATTGGTTAGTTATGGACATGACTAGCGATCCTTTCAAGTTGCTATTCATGCTTTTCATGTCTGCTTCCAATTCCCGGCGCAGTGTTTTCTTTGGTATTTCTCTTTTCCGATCCCCTTCAGGATTCCAAGTTAGGGCTTGCGTCGTGGTATAGTTTATGATTTCCGCAACGTATATCCTACTCACCGCTAGTGTCTTTTCTTAACTTCCTCTTAGATAGAAGTTGGTCTGTTCTCTCCCACAGTAGATTATTACTGATAGTATTCGGACAACGGACATTGAGTATCTTGCGTAAACAATTATTTATAAATAATTATACTTTTTTATGTTGGTTGTAGTAGCTCTCCGTGTTACATCTCCGTACAGTAGAACTGTTTTGACGTTCGTATTGGAGATCCTCTCGAATCTTCCTGAACAGAACGTGGAGCATGTTTGCATTTACTTCTGTGTCTGACTTCAATGCTTCAGTTGGTATGTTGTCTACTCCTGCTGCTCTCCCCCTTTTGATTTGTCTGATAGCGATCCTGATTTCTTCGATCGTTGGTGGAGTGACATCAATAAGAAGGTCTGTAGGTGTTGCTTTGATGTCCGGTGGATTCAATAGAGCTCATCTATTCAAGAGTTCCTCGAAGTATTCTACCCATCTGTTCCTCTGTTCTTTGAAGCTCGGCGATTGTCTTGCTTTCCTTATCCTTGACCGGTCTCTCTGGTTTACGGCATTTTCCTGCCAGTTTCTTCGTTGTGTCATATTTCCTTCGCTTGCCGCTTTTTCCGCTGTCATTGCTAGGTCTTCCACGTGATTTTTCTTGTTGGCTCTAATGCTTTTGTGTATTCAGTTTGTGCCTTGACTTTCTCTGTTCTTGTTAGGCTGTTATTATTTGCTATGTTCTTGTTCTTCCTTTCTTGAATCCTGTCTAGGATTTCGATAGATCCATTCCTTATGACGATACTTCTTGCGTCCCAGTATCTCCTGACATGTTGAAGTTAGTGCTTCTCTCATCTCTTTCCAGTAGTTTCCTCTTTTTGGGTAGATCTATTATGGCTTGAACCTGTTGTTCAGAGTTATCTTGAATTCGTTGAGTTTGTTAATATCTCGTAGGGAGGCTATACTGAACTTTCCTACTGCTGTTTCCCCAGCTGTCCAATATTTCCTTGGCTTTATTTTCGTCTTCGCCAAAACCAGATGGTGATCTGAATCTATGTCAGCTCCTCTCCTGGTTCTCACGTCTTCCATTGTCTTTCTGAATTTTTTATTGATACAAATATGATCTATCTGGTTCTCCGTGGTGTGATCCGGCGAGATCCATGTAGCTTTCTGTATGCGTTTGTGTGGGAATATTTTGCTGCCAATAACCAAATTGTTGGATGAACATAGATTGGCAAATTTCTCCCTGCTTTTGTTATTTTCTCCTAGTCCATGTCGTCCTATGATATCTTCATATCCGGTGTTATCCATCCCGACTTTGGAGTTTAAATCTCCCATCAGGATGGTTAGGTCCTTTTTTAGACACTTCGCTGAGTGATTGCAGCTTCTCGTAGAACTGACCTTTATCATCGTGATTGTTATCAATGGTGGGTGCATAGCACCGGATAACATTTATTGTGATTCCCTTCTCTATTTTGAAGAATGTTTTGATGGTCGTGGATCAGTGATATTCACATTCTGTAGGTGCTTTTCGGGCTTCTCTGGATGTCATCATTGTAACCCTTTGTGTGTGCGAAGCATCTTCTTCTCCATGACCAGAGTATAACAGCATCATTCCCGAATCTAATCTATTCTTTTCAGCTGGGGTCCAATGGGTTTCACTGATTGCGAGTACATCCAAGTTGTATCTCCTCACTTCCACCGCTATTTGATTGGTTCTTCCAGTGTTATACTTTGTTCGAACGTTTCATTTCCCTATAAAAATTGTTTCTCTGGTTGTAAGAAGGGGTATCGACCTCGCAATTTCTGAATAATTTTGGCTTTCACCATGTGGAGTGAAAATTCTTCCAAATACAAATCCCTCAATCCCCAGTGCAGATTTAAAATGGTTTAAATATCTTTTTCCGGTTTGCGTTTTTTAGCAAAGTCGTCTTCTTCGGGTTTGGGTTACTGACCCCATGCCCAGCCATCCTACTTTACACGGGCTTGGGACTTGAAGTAACCGTAGAAGAACTACAAGCGGAGTTTTAAAATTCAACACATCACTAGAAGTTTCGTAGCACCTGGGTTGGAAAACCTGTCAGCTATCAAAACTCCTTAAAATTTTCGGACAACACAGTACTGAAAATATTCTGTACTAAGCGATAAACTAACATTTAAAATAAAATAGGAAAGCAAAACTTTGTGTCATCAATAAATATAAGTATTTTACAGTAGAAGACGCAGTTCAATCAAAAACATACACTCAAGACGAATTCTTTTCAGTTGCTGTTCAACAAATTTCAGATAGGCCTGATGTCAATAAACACAACAATTGTTGATCTGCAATAAGTTTTACAATGATCCATCATTTTGTGTTAGGCGGAAACGTCATCCAAGATCTGGATGGGAATCCGAACTATTTCTCATGAGCCAGCTTTTCACGAGATGCACACATTCTGAGGCCTACGATAGAACATGATAGTTTGGAAGCAGTCTTGTATAAATTACGTGGTCCTTTCTAAAGATTAGAACCACAATTGCTTCATTCCAATGTAATGGAGTATACTATATTTCAAATATCTTTAAATAATTTCAGGACTGCGTTTACTTATTACCATAAGTTCGAAGCATTGCTCGGGTATTTCGGAACCGCTGAGTAAGTAATACAGAGCTAAAGGTCGCCTATAATTCTACTTTCAGAGCCTTATTTCTCGACTAAATAAACTCGTAGCGCTTCACAGTCGTCTTCTGTTTTAGAGCAGCGAGATTGAAGGATTACGTCGAGTATTCAATATAATAAGTTAGACGAAAAGCACTTCTGCGATTTAATAAATTTTAAAAATCTTCTTAGCTTTTTTACAGAATTCAACCTTAAGTGATGCGACCCAGATAGATACTTTGGGGAAGCGTTGACCTTGGGGGTTTCTCAAGGTGATTGATTTGAATTCAGTTGTTGCTGAATATTCACCTGGTTACTGGATATAAACAAATCGTCTTACTTGAGCTCGTCCCTCAATGTTAAGAAACGGTTCTATATTGCTAGTGCAACCTGTTTAGGTTATTTGGAGAGCTATGCCTCAACGTTTATTGTTTATTCGACGGGCCTTTGTGTATCTGACACTTTATTGATATGTGTCAATTGAATCAACCGTTATCACATGATTTGATAACTAATTAGTTGGTCGAGACAAAGGTGTACTAGGATTAACAAAAGGATGGAGATATTTGGAGAGGCGACAAGAGATAAAGCTAAAATATGAATAGAAAAGCATAAAGGGTCGTATAAAAAGGCAACAGTAGCTATAATAGTCGGCAGTAGATTTCGAATGTTGGGTGTAAAGGTAGACTCACTTATTCTGTCAGAAAGTAAAGACGTAAGATCTTTCATTAAATATTAGGCTTATCAATTTAATTATTCGTCTTTTCATTATTCATTGTGATCTCTCTGGAAGATTTGGTTGATCTTTATTTACTTTAATTTCAAATAATTTTAATTTTTATGCTGCTTTCTACTACTACTATCTTAAATGTCTAAATCAATTCCTTTTGTTACGGCACATGTTCTCTTTTCATTTTCATCCCAAGTAACGAACAACCGCGTCCTTCATCATTTTTGTTAAGTTTGTATGTGGTTTTAAAATAAAAATATAATGACATGTGATATTAGGCTTTTATTGGTTTGTCAGCGTAGATAGACAAGTATCTATGCTAAATGTATGAGACACTTCCTAATATTGTGAATTCTTTTCCACTGTAACTATATTCGAATTTTACACCGTTTGACTACCCTGTATTTTGTGTCAAACTATAAGTCAGATCTGTTGTCTCGTTCACAATTGTTGATCACGTATCCGGATTTAATCTGGTCTACTTATCTCTTGTCACCTAAAGTGCCCCCATTTATAATAGCTAGTGTATCAAATCTTATTATCAAGTGATTCGCATCTAACCTCAGAAAACCCCTCCTTTTTAAACTTCTCTGTTATATTAGAATGTAAGACTGTTTACTGAGTAATTAAATTTCTTTTCCTCTGTAAAGTTATCTTTGATTTAGATTTAAATATATATATGCTTTAGATTTAGATTAAATATACATAACAATTAGTTGAGAAGTTTTTTTTACTTTTTAGTTGAAAATGGAAAACATGTTGGTATCTCATCATGATGCCGTTACACTATATAAAATGAATAATATCATGAGATTTTATCAACATACATTTAGGTAAGTGTGACTATAGTTAATAAATCAAAGTTTTATTGATCTCTGTGAGATTGTGTATGTATGTATATAAGACCTATTCGATTTGCTAGTGCTTTTCTGAAACAGCTTTTTACTAAAACGAAATACCTATTATGTGATATACACCGTTACAATTCTGTTAGTAACCATTATAACTCCTATCACAAATAAAGTAATACACAAATACATGAGGCTCCTGGCAGCGTGATAGACTTGAGATACCTATCTAGCAAGATAGACATCTGGAATCAGGTAAATTAAGAAAGCGAAAGTTACTATTACCCTCTAGGACATCTTTGGGAGTAGTGTGAATCCAATGAAATTGTAAAATGCAATCGAGATTAAATGGTTATCACAAAATGTAAATATTCTCGATTTCATTTATGTTTTGGGTTGATACATAATTCTTAAAAGTTCTTAAAACTTGAACAGAGTACTTCCTCAGTCTCTTGATTAACAGTATTTCCTCAGTTAATCCCACTTTGCGACAAGAAAAAAATTGTTTAACAATAAATTAATATAAATGAATTGATTGGATTAATAAACCCCATTTTCGTGAGGTGTCCTGATTTATAATGTACTGTAGTGGGTTATTTAGAAAGGACTCCTGTAGTCAAGTAGGGGGTTCGAATTTATGAACATCGTAATTGGTAATGTATTTTTATCTCAGGAAAGTGTTTAGATTTTTCTATGGGCTTCACTTAAAAAAGACCATTACCATTTTTTTGCTAAACCAAGTCACCTTTTTAGAGAAAACCCATAGAATATGTGTTGTATAAAATTATCAGTATGTTTCGATGCAAATTAACATATTTGTAGTGAACGAAGCCCTAAGTGGGGACAACTAATTTATTGCTTAACACGAAATAATAGAGTTCTTTCGTAAAATGTAATGATAAATTCAATATTCCATTTGCAAATACTCCATCAATTGTCTCGAACTTCATCGTTCCTTCGTTGCTCTTACAATTACTCTCTGTTTCAATTCTCTTAGATTGGATCTTCCCAACCTTCTGCAGCCAGGCATTTCTCTTCTGATTGGTGTTATATACTACTTATGTCTATCGATATAAGTAGCATACATCACATGTTTATATCATTACATAAAGTTTCTGTTGCATCTGAGAAGATACTAACTAACGAGAGTATCCTTTATTGTTTAATCAGTTTAAAGTGTCTCTACCAGTTAAAACGTATTAAAAGCGTCTTGTTAACCAATCAAACAGATAATTAAATGGTTTGTAAGACTCGGCTCGACATCTAATCAAGTGTTCGGATTTCACACAACTGGCTCTATCTAGCATTAAAATGGTGATTCCAGCCAAGCTGATTTAATATACTTATTTTCTTATTCTCGAAAATGGGATCAAAAATGATTACCATAGTTTTTATCATAACAACAAAAAGAACACTTACACACTAACACAACTAAACTAATAAATAGTCTCGGAAACTTAGTACCTACTAAATACTTCATAATCTGTGACATGAACACTTGGGCTCAGTTACTGAGTGGCGGTTATGAAATTCACTTTACTCCCTTCTGTTCTTGCAGGCACTTGGTATAATTCATTTTTATGTTTAGTCTAGCTCATTTCTCAGTGTTCAAATGTTTGTACGACCGATTAACTGCATTAATTTTATGTTGATCGTAAAAATTTTTTCAATAAGGTGTATATCCTTTTATTTTACTTCAATCTAAGTCCTGTTTTCATCGTTTTTATTTAGATCACTGATTAAATCTACTGCCTCGCTCAATTTATGCCTAGATGAAGTTCAGAAGCTCTGTAAAAGGCTATTACTAAACACTCTCAAACAATTTGTCAAACAAACTCTAGAACAAGTGAGAATTTCAAGTTACGATTTCCTTTTTTGTTAACTTTTATAGGTAATGTATAATGTATAGCTCATTTGTAATAGGGTTACAGTAGCCAATGCAGACGATCACAAATAAGTGGTACCCTGAATTGAATTAAATAACTGTATGTCTGTGCTCCTGTTATGATTTTCTGAGCTTCATGAATAGCACAGTATTAAGTTTTCTCTATGACTATGAAATCGTTGTTTGCGAATTGTAACAGAAGAATAAAAGAAATCACTTATTTATTTATCTATTTGAACACATAAATATTGGTACAAGAGGGCACCAAATATGTATGAGCCACACAAAAAAATGAGAATTTGGAGGGAAGGAAAAAAGGTAAGGGGTGCAAAAATAAAGAACAATAACGAACAGATTAGTGTCAGGTAGTGTGATAGTAGTAATAATGGGGGAAACAAAAAGGTGCAATCATAAGAAATCTTTCAGTTAAGGAAGAAGCAACTACTTTTTATGAAGAAAGTAAAAGGTTACAGCAGGTTCGCCACTGGCTTCTATTCTGAGCTATATCTGATAACGTCTCTAGCCACTGTGTTGCACCATCTTTAGGACCCCAGCCAGGGAGTCGTGAAGGACCAACACAAGCCAACCCTTTGCAGCTTTCTTTCATACCACGACACCATGTCATACACTAACCACCTCTCCGCTTTTTCCAACCAGTCCCACAACGTAGAACTCTCTGGGACGACATTCGTAGAACATGTTCAAGCTACGGAAGTCGGTGTTTCAAGATGGTGACATCAAATGAATTATCGTCGCTGTGCCCGAACACACGATGCTGAACTTCTGCATTACTAACATGGTGTTGCCACCGAATGTCAGCAATCCTTCGGAGACAACGATGATCGAACACAGAGAGTCGTCTAACATCCTCAACTCGTAGAGGCCAGGTTTCACAAGCATAGAGCGAAACTGCTCTCACCGATGCGTTGTAGATCTGACCTTTTACAGCCAGACTAACATCGCGACGGCGCCAAAGCTGACCCAGATTGGCATAAGCCACTCTGGCTTTCACTATAAGTGCATTGATCTCATCACTCACGCCACCACCAGCACTTACGCAACTACCTAGATATACGAACTTCTCGACTACTTCTATCTGCTCACCATCCAGGGTGAGTACAGGATTAGAATCCTGCCAGTCTTGTAGGAGTACTTTGCACTTCGAAGGTGCAAAGCACATACCATACCTACGGACATTGATTGCCGACTGATTAAGTGTTGATTGCTTGGCTTGGGCATTCTCGCACAGTGCGACAATATCATCCGCATACTCAAAGTCGAGAAGTCTTTCTCCAGGCAACAGATCCACACCGCCATTACTTACATCCATCAGAGTTGTTTCTAGAATGTCATCGATGGCAAAGTTGAAGAGTAATGGTGAGATTGGACAACCCTATCTAACCCAACTGCTTGAATGGAAAAATGGAGTGAGGTGGTTGTATGCCCTCACTCTGCCTGAGGTGTTTGTATATAGGGCTTTTAATATGTTAATAAACTTCTCAGACACACCCTTCTTCAATAGACACTCCCAGAGAACAGTTCTGTCCAACAAATCGAAGGCAGCCCTATTGTCAAGAAACACTACGATTGTTGGCGTTTGGTAAGTATGACGGTGTTCTAACATTTGGCGGAGGGTGAAGTCATGATCAATACATCCTCGACCAGAACGAAAACCAGCCTGCTCCTCGCGAGTCAATCTTTCTCGGGTTTTGAACAACCTACGAAGTATGACGGAAGCCAACAGCTTGGACGCAATCAGAAGTAGACTTATCCCCCGTTAGGTTTTACAGGAATGACGTGAACCCTTTTTAAAGATAGGGACAACTATCGACTCATTCCATGACGTTGGTACACTCTCTAGTTTCCAGACCTTTGTAAACGACGTCGTCAGTCCCATCCCGTCATCCTCTCAGATTGTTTCGCTCACACCAAACTTCTTGCTGCCAGTGGCTCGGATGAGTTGAAAGAGCTTCCGGTAGTTACCAGATGCAGCTGCTGCTTCCAGCTCATTAGCACGCTCCGACCACCAGGCTTCTCGGTCCTTACGCAAGATTTGTCTAATTTCATCACGTAACAGCCTTCGTTTGTGCTCAAACTCGCGGTCACCCGGAGTAAACCGACGGGCTTCAATGAGTTGTAAGGAACCAGAAGAAATCCAGTGCTTATAAACGGGACGTTTCGCGAAGCCGCAAGCGGCTTTACTCGCCATGAAGTTGCAACCAATGCTCATCTGTACCTTTCGGTGGAATGATAGCTAGCCTAGAAGCTAGCTCGGTTCGGTACTTACTAGCAACAGAAGTTGCAACCAGCTTGCTAACGTCAATCCTTTGGTGGCGGTCACTTCGTTGGCCACTAAAAAGTAAGGTGAGATTGGCGCAGACCACGACATGATCATAGTCCATATAGGTACTCCAAAAGGAGCAGCAGTCTTGTACACAACCACGCCGGCGGTAGCTGATTGCGATGTGATCAATCTGAGTCCAGGCTTAAGATGCAGAGGGAGGACGTCAGGTGACACATCGGCGATGACTGTGCCGGAAGTTAGTGCTACCCAGAAACAGATTGTGGTCTGTACACAGCTGCAGTAGACGGTCCCCGTTATCTATCCTACGACCAACAAGTCCCCATCGGCCACCTAAAGCACTCTCTTCTGTGCCTAGACGCCCGACCTGAACATTCAAATTTCCGGCTAGTACTACAATATCTGTCGAACACACTTTCTGGAGAAGAACAGTTAGCTGATGGTAGAACTCGTCCTTGATTGCATCCGGGCTGCAATCTGTCGGGGCATAGGCGGAGATGACGAAAAGACATCGTTTCTCACGCCGATTTCTTCTCACTTTGATGGGACTCTCTAATCTAACAGCACATAACTGACTGTTAATGGGGATCCAATCTATTAGTGCTGCCTCAACAACACCAACGTCAGCAAGACCAGACGAAGATGCCACAGGGTCCCCGGATAAACGCACGTGAAACAAGCTTTCCGAAGCGACAGATGGAGAGCAGATTTGTAGTACTTCACCAGAGTCTTGAATACGGGTCTCGGATAGATAACAAACGTCAATATTAAGACTTTCCAAAGACGTAGCCAGCCCTATCTGTTGTCCGACCTGCATAAGTGTGCGAACGTTGAAGGCAGCCAGTTTGAATGGTGCACGTGGTTTCAGAAAAACTGCTTCAGTATTCGTATTCGGTGGTAGCATACAATTCTCAACCAGGCAGTGACTCGAGAACGTTTAGATAGAACAGAGTTTCGACCAAAGGCGAGCTGCTGTATAAGTTGAAAAATGGGGATATATGAAGTGATAATAAACAATGATAAACGATATAGTATATAAAGAAAAATAGTAATAAAAATATGGATGAATGTTATCGAGTGAAATGTCTGAGTTCTGATCGGAGCGGGCATAGTATTTTGTGAAATATTTGTCATCTCATCAAATTTGTGTGAGGGCTGTGATACTGCCCGGATGCCCAAACCGAAGCAGGTGGTTTTCTTAAGGGACCACACCCGTAGCATTTGACCTAAAGGTCTGACCCACAAGGCAGTGGAGCATCGTAAGGAGATGCAGTCCCATGGTATCCAGTGACCAACGATTGGTTCATACGCCATTTGTTCCCTTAGGATACTGGAGCCTATGTGCACCATTGGTTTGGGATCCGGTTAAAGTGCCGGAAATTCGCTTTTCGTCCTCTAATTTTCGTAAATAACACCCCCGCCACGAGAAGGCAGTGAGTAGGACTTCCCTGGCAGATGCTGTATACGCGTGGCCGTGTCAGAGTATTTCGAGAGGGAGGGTTGGCCCACCCCACTTTTGGCCACACCAGGGTATTTGAGGGCAATAAAATCACTCTGTTAATACAATAAAATATCCGGCGACTAAATTTTCCTACATTCACTGTTGATATGTTGTCGATAAAATAGCTTGGAATTTGCTATCAAAAACACTAAATAATATGCCTGATAAACATCATGCTGACAAAGAAGGGGACAAAATGTTTATAGCTACTTTTGTTTTAATGACTCGAACAAAAACTCACCCGACCCTCAATATTTCAGTATAAAGTCAGTTCAGGAATGAAAATAGCATGTCCGTATTTATCAGTGTTATTCACCAAGTAGACGCTGTACATGAGATAAAAATCTTAAGACCATTAGTTTTCGTTAAATTGATCGATTTGAGAATCCAATATTTTTCCTTAAATGTGAATATCTCGAAAATTACCTGTATTTATGTGTTTAGCTGTTCATACTTGGCTTTTCTCGATAATATGTTTTATTCTATTACCGACATTTCGTAAGGCTGAACTTTCTGGGATAAATTGTGATTACAAAAATCGTTCATAGGAATTTAACTACAACAAATGGACAATAATGTACACATAGTCAGTTTGTTTCATCATTGTTTTTATCTCGTGAGGACGACGTGCGATTTGGATGGGGATCGATATTTCAAACAACATATTTTTTTATTACGCTCTTGTTGTTAATGTATTTTAAAGAAATATTCTCTCTAGTTATCAGTCTGATTCTTCCTCATGTTGTCATAGATTACCAGAAGGCAGTCAGTGATGTAATAATTAAAAAAAAATAATTTTCATACAACTAATAAATTCATATTAGTTATTTTTTTCTTTCTTTTTCATTTTCTTTACAATTTATATTAGCCTGACCATCCAAACTTAAACTTATCTCCGAATGAACTAATCACTGACACTCTACAATTACTTATCCAAATGGTCGGTGATCAAGATATTTCATTACTGCCAAACGATGAAGTAAAAGTCGAACGTGCAGAGGTGATTTGTCTATTAATATAGCGAAACTTTGCAGTACAACCACTGTTTGAATGAGTAGGCCTTTTTACAAACCCTCTCAACCTTTTCAAATCTACAGTTAGTGTTTTACATTAGATCGTCTATTAGGATGTATTAGGATTTTGACTAAGTGGATCTTATGTATGAAAGTTTAAGAAGTAACATTTTAAGTTCACTTTGTATTGTTTACTTGAATCTTCCCATTGATGTTTAGGACTGCAATTGATTGGAATATATATCCAAAATAAACGATTAGTAGAACTACAGGATCATATAGATATTTTTTGAAAAATAGCACGTCTACTAAGTAATGTAAGTACTTCCTCAATACTCTTAACATTTAGATCTGTCACTCATCTTGATTTATCTTTAGAAGCATGAGAATTGTTCTGACCTCACACTTCAATATGTATAATTTTTATTTTTAAGAGATCACTATAATTTCTCAATTACAGACACATATCTAGTTACTAGTCTTTTTTGAAGACAAAAGACATTCATGAAGATTTTGAGGTTTCTCGAAGTTATTATTTGGTTGATTGATGAGTTCCATAGAAAGAATAATCTTTTTTTGATCTTACACTTGTGTCTAAGAAAAAACTAGGAACGTCATATGTGAGTAGTACGATACTACAATATTTAGAAATTCAGATATGACCATGGAAACGAAGAAACTGTAGTTCATTCCACACACATAGTCTCTTTTCTTGCTTTTGAAATGAGAGATAATTGAGAAAACACTTATTTTGTTGGTACTCCAAATGATTTTTGTTAAACACTGGATGAGGACCTGCAGAATCTCCCACTATAGTAACATGTTTAGTTACCGTCTAGGTGAGCCTATTTTAGCTGTTGATGATTCAGATATATTCAGTCAACTTGACCTTTCTAATAACTCCACTCTCTTAAGCACTTGTGGCCGGTATGCATACACCTTTATTCGTGATCTTGTTAATTCGATACTTGTATGTCTACGCTAACTGATCTAACATTCACCTTACCCATTTTATTGTGTTTCTAGTTAGGTTAACGTCTATAACAAGATTTCGAAGTTTTACCTTCTCCGGTTTGGGTCTTTGATTTTCTACATCAACGGATGCATGAGACATGTTTCGAATAACATTCGTATTTGACTAACGCATATAACTACATGAATACGTACGAAATTAATTAAGATTCAAGATTCCATCGACATAATGCTCTTAGTTGACTAAGGACACCAAACGCCCCAAGAGCACAATGCACTTGTACAGAAGCCGCATTATATTATGGTAGGGTCGAGAAAGACTATTTTAGTTAACTAGATAGCCTCCCAATATGTCGCCGTTGACTCTCCTTTTTGTTTGATGACTAGTGGCTAGATCTCACTCAAAGTTATTATTACTAGTCCAGTCAAACTATATGCGGCCACCTCGTCGGTTTGTTTACAAAGCCGTGTTATTCTAATTTCTTACATTACCTTTTCCCGTACATTTTTTTTTCCATTTCAGGTAATCGATTGTTTGGTATCTCCTTTGATCACTTACTGCGAGAAGTCTGCTAGTTTACTCAACTTTAATTCACTATCGCACTTAAGGCATCTAGATGACCAACTACCCACTAACCCACCTGATAACCCTTCAGTATCAATATACCTAGTCAACTGTTTTAATGCTATTCAGGTTAGTCTTTCAGGGATTCCCTCTAGTGCTAGTCAAGTAGAACAAGTTGCACTGAAATTAGACAACTGTCTGAATTCACTGGTTGTTGCACAAGTTTCCTTCATACTTGAAAGGACAGGTCTTTTGTCAATAAACCAAAGACTTGGCACTGTTCAGGATCCTAATGTTCCCCAGTACACGATATCCGAATTTCATGACATGTTGGTAAGTCGTTTAGCTCTATTTTAAATGCAATAAACACTGTTACTTCAAAATACACCATATGTTTTAGTAGCTGTCATAAAATTTACGAGCGAATGTGACCAGACCAGCATATCGCGTGCCATAAGTACCTCAAATTGTTCAGATGACACTTACCTGTATCCAACACCAGTTCCCTTGAAATTGCGGATCCCCGCTTAGTCAAACGCTAAGTAGCGCGAGACCCGTGATTCCCTGTCGACCATCTCAAACCACTTGTCGTGGGGACTATTGTTGGTTTTACTGACTGTAAATTAATACTTAGTACGTCATCCTTGAATCTACAAAATTGTAACACAGTTAACATCGCTAGCAAACTGAAATACTGGCAGTCGTGCGGTGAATACTAAGTACATTGGTGCAAAGTCTATAACTATACTGCTTTCTTTCAAACATGTGGTCAGTCAGCGTTGATTCGATCGCCCACTTTTCTCAAGTAGTATTTCCAAATACTTATAGGTCTCAATCCTTAATCACCTAATTTTGTAGTGTTTGTGTATCACTCTGCATTGACTACTACTCATCGCCTCAAAATCAAGCTATTCCGCTCACTGTCACTCTTATTTTATTCTTAGGTGGATTTCAATAAATATTTATCGAATCCAGACAAACTATGCCTTACTGACATGAACAAAATATGTTCCCAACAGTTACGAAGGCTGGTTCGTCGTCGTTCTGCTGACCAGATTCATAGTTACTACCAATCTGTTCACCAAGCAATCATGAATGTAACCGAAACTTGTTCTGAAACCGATACAACTGTACAACTTTGTACTCCACAACATGTCGCTGAACTAATTCTCAACTTCTGATTGCCTTAATAAAAATAAAAAATTAGGTCCTGCTTTTATTGTTTTGTTTTTGATAATTTCTATTCCATTCAAGGAAATTTATTTGCTGTCACAGTACCTCTACACCAAAGTGAACCCTAACTAATTGCTTGATTCCCGCTACATTATAATTTAAAAAGAAAACGGAAGGTTACATATGATACATTGGTTAGTAAAATTAAGGTATTCAATGGATAAATTATGCCTCTGTGTCCATAGCTTCACCAGATGAGTCGCTTTCAGGTGAAATATGTGAAATGAGGGGTAACTCTGATTGTACGTTCTCGGGAGATAAATGGTCCATATCTTCAGGGCCTGCCAGCTTCACACCCACAACTGTAGGTTTAGGTGGTTGCTCATTACTAGATTGAGTGTCGTCATCACTTTGATTCTTTCCATTTTCCATACTTTCAGCAGGACATATCTTACTATTCTCATCTTCACTGTCGCTGCAACTGCTGATACTGTCCGTATGTTTGTTTTTCTTTGAGGATGGGACCTCATCTAAAGTTGAACTCGGACGGTTGTTGATTTCGGAATTCTTTTCTCTTTTTTCTTGTCGAACTGCCCCGTTGCTGTGGCTTTGCTTAGCTGGAACATCTCGATGTTTCTTCGGCTTGCAATCCCGTCTGTCATCAGATTCTCTTTCACAGTGACGATATTTCTCACGATCTCTGCGATCAGGTCCACGATTTCGCTCACGTTCTTTTTCGCGATCTCTTTCTCGGATTTTTTCACGGTCCCTATCGCGGTCTCGTGTCCGATCCCTTTCACGGGTGTTTCTGTTTTGCCGGTCACGGTGGTCGCCTCGGTGACCTTTAGATCGACTACGTGAGTATCGACGACTGGAGTGCGAACGAGAATGCCGATGTTTTTTGCGATTGTGAGACCTAGAGTAGTAAAATAGATGATAATTAGTGTCGAAATTTTCGTGAATGAACAACAGAACAAAAATTGTAGTCTTATCAGCATGTGCAGAACTTTCCAACCGAACCGCCAATCAAATCTGAGAATCTATAAGTTCGTATAGCAGAAGTAATGTATGTAAAGCTGTATTGAGTAATGATAGTATTGATACTGACCTGTGTCAGGTTAGAAAAGTTTTGGCATTGGGAATTCACTTCTTTACTGTGTTCGAAAAACAGTAAACAATTGTGTGATGTTGCCCCCATAGTTACGAGTTTCTAATAATGGCGAGGATACTAAACCACATACACTAGGAAAATCCATCCAGCTTCTTACAATCTAGTCTACAGAAACTTGAACTTGGATACTTGTGAAGTTTGATGTGGTTCTATCAACATTTGAAAATAAATTTTCCTGTCATTGCAGTCAGCGAAACCATGTACTACAGTATACTCTTATTGGTCTACATCCTTAGTTTAATTCAGAAGTACAGAACTCACACAATTATCAATTGGAAAGCTTTTTTTCTATCAGTACTTTGTCGCACCTAAGGAAGATTAATTCAGTGGAGTTTTGTAGAGGGGGTTTAAGATAATTAAATAGAACGAAAGGAGATAGGGAACGAAATGAACGTGTGTACTTCTGAGGGAATACAGATAATTTAGTTTTCGGTTGACAGCATTCCCGATTACATTTTATTGTGGCGTAATTAAATATTACCTAGGCCTATTTACATCATCTAATGATATTTATTGCACGAAATCGTATGATATTCTGATACAATGTTTCCAACTCATTGCCCCCTTTTATTTTGAAACTAGTAATTGAATCCCACTGAACTAATTGAAGGTGGTATAGTTGAAGATGTCTATCCGTAAAATTTTACGGCATTTAGCAATGCGATTCTTAAACAGTATGAGAATAACGAGTGTCTTATATAGCATAACTCAACAGGTTACACAAGCTTAACCACCGCATCAGCGCCCTGCACTTGACAAAATATATCTTAATATCTTGGAGTCACAAGCATCAAGTCATATAACAGGTTACTACTTAAGCTTTTGCTTTTAATATTTCAAACTGATGTTTCTGAATGAATCACCGTTCAGAAAAGCTGACATGGACTTACCTTGACCTAGCATGATCACTTCTCCGATAATCCTTGCTTCGCGAACGTGTGCGATGACGATGTCCACGAGACCTGGAGCGGGACTGTGTTGGAGACCGTCTTCTATCTCGACTGTGACGAGAATGGGAGCGTCTTCTATCTCGAGACCGACTACGGTATCTTCTTGAAGTTGACCTGCGCCTGGATCGAGAACGTCGAGCACGAGATCTGGAACGTGAGCGCCTTCGATCACTGTGTTTGCTACCTTGAATACACAAATATACATCATAAGTAACTAAGTGGTCCATATCAACAACTGGTACGACAGAATGGATCGAAACTCAATAACAAGGTCATATCATTTTTAGAGTACTTAATCATCGAACCTGCGAACATTCATTGCAGAAACAAGTAGTACGATAAACTCGAATATACTGCAAGTAAAGTTGAATGATCATCGTTTGCTTGTACACAATCGAGTCATTTCGGCAACCGAATTGTACTTACAGGATGAAGGGAAAACATATTTCTGATAGTAAACTGCAGTCGATAGAGCCCACTATTTGTGTAACGTCAATTGTTAGGAATAGAAAAGGATAGATGACATATTTTAGTTGGGGCCGCTTAAGTTGGTGGTGATCGTGATCAAACCTAATTCAAACAACTGTTTCTTAGTCACTTAATGGATGACGTTTAAATTCAACGCATTATAATTAAGCAACATGTTGAACAATAAAAGGAAATTCAATCCGATTTTCATTGTCATACTTTAATAAGCAATATACAAGAACATAAAACCAATAGGAATTTGTGAGTCAATGATAGTAATTGTTATGATTAGGTATGTTATCTTTTTCAGTCACCAGTGACCCAAAAATTCCACTTATGTTTTATCAACTGTACACAAATGTTACTACACTTAGAATAAAGCTTAGTGGTCTAACTTAAAACATTACTGTCAGTGCAGGGTTATAGAAATTGTTGGACCTCAAAAAACAGGAAACATTATTGTTCGAACTTACACTAGGGGAATTCTCAATAATAAAGTGAGTATAAGCCAAGTGGCGTTAAATAAGTATAGTGGTAGCGAATACAACGATGTACTACCAAACACGTAGCCAAAAATCGTTAGTAAAGTAAATGGAGCTCCAAGGCATTGACTAACAAAACACATGAATTCTATTCTGTGGTTCTTGGATAGCTGTAATATTTCTTGAGCAACAGTTAGTTTCATGAGTGATACCGACTCTACACATCATATAGAGATAATTTCCTGACGTCATAGCTCATTCACTACTTATGGACGACTTCCCAATCCTTTTTATTCTTTAATTACTTATAATTCTTTCGGCATTATTCCCAACACTTGAATTTGTAGTAGTAACATAGAGTTACCTTACTATCACCGATTTCAATTTTACAAAAAACATACTTGTCTGTAGACTTGAGGAACAACCAAGTAATACTTATCCGTTATTTCTTTTGAATTTTTCAGTCGAAATATTTGCCAGGCCTTTAAAGCTTCCCAGTTGGAAACTTTTACAATTTGTTTTATACAAGATAAACCAAAGCGGAGGGGGGAATGTGTCGGCATGATTCTAGAGCAATGTAGTTCAAACATACAAGTTTGTCGTTAGTAGAGACGAAGATCCACGCTTCAACATGACACAAAAACTAACTGTAAAAAGTTTTCCACTTCTAACAAGACGTGCTATATGTTTACATGTTACGTGGAACAGTCATTATTACTAATTCTTCTGAAATAAACTTACTGTGACCACCAACACTTGAAGCCTGTTCGTTTGTGACTGAGCGTTTTGATGTCTCATCAAGCATAGCAACATTGTTGGCAGGTTTAATAATCGCACAGTTGGAATGTTGTACCATTATCTGTAACAAATTAGTTATAAAGAGTTACAAACCTGGCGGCCGTTTAGTGTGGCCCCCATTAGACCGAAGGCCTTAATAATTGACGGTTGTTGAGTGAACTCCACATAAGCAGCTCGGTCAAAGTCGGTCCCCGCCATTCGTACACAGCGTACTTCGGCATGTTTGTTGAAGAACTCTAGTACCTGAAATCAAATGGACTTGAAAGAAAACGAATAAAATGGATGGATATTGCCAAATGAGAACTTATAATGCAAAGCTAACTGGTGAAAAACAGGATATGCATGACTAGCACTTAGGTAACCCTGTTAGTTACCTTTAGTCAGATGCGAACTCCTTGAAATCGCAGAATCAGGTACGGCATAGGAATATCCTATAAAATTTGTAAACCAAATTGGTTGTCTTAGCAGGATAGAGGACCCTGTTTGGTCTCACGCAGTAATAACTAATTAGTAAAAACAAAAAAGAAAAGACAAAAATGTACAGAAAAGCCACCGACCCTTTTGGAATCGCAGTCACAAGAGCATTATTTACGTATCGATTAGGTGTAGTGCTGTTGCGATGGCACACTGTCGATGACCAGTAGGGCTGGAAAACACGATACACAAAAAGCACAGAGGAATTGTTAGGTACTATTGGTAATTTATTCGAAGCATATACAAAACACCTGAAGTCAATAACTTGAGACGCACAAATGTAAAAGCCTTAGAATCAAACTTATTAAACTATTTGGGAGGTTTTGGGGTATTTCACACTTTACAATGCCCCGATATCCTTTGTTGAGGAATTAGTTTTCCACTTGTACACACTGCTTTGCGGCGTACATATTTACTAGCTTCACTAACCATAATGGCCATAAAGCATCCTGAGCAGTATTCTGAGATTTCTTTTGTCGCGAGCATTTCTAGAACGTACCTGATCACCTGTTGTCTTTGGATCAAGATTCGTAACCAAAATTGTTCTTCGAATTTCTTCTATGCGACTGCCGTCAGTAGTGGCAGGAAGTGGTGGGTATAAGGGGAATGCCAGACTGGAAAGACGAGGCTCCATAGTGTGTATCACCTGCTCACCAGGACGACCA